AAAAAAAATAAAACTTGTATCTCATAATTATGAGATAGTATCTCATAATTATGAGATACAAGTTTTATTTTTTTTTATCAGAGTGGCGGAAATGGGCTTCCATAAAATACAAATCAATTCAAGGAGAAAAAATAATAACAGTGCAAGAGGAAAAAAATCTAGTGGGCTAATATAAAGCTTTCATCCAAAAGTTAAAATAAAATAAAATAAATAAAATAAAATGCTACAACAATACAATGCTTGATCAACTGCTCATAATTATAAAATACAATCACATTAAAAAGGTCAAAAATAAACAAAGATAATAAAGATGCCACCTTAGTCACAATCACAACTCTAATTAAGTAGAGTTTTATATAACTTTGAAACGGTTTTGGCTACTTTATTAGCCTTTTGCTATGTTTTGCATTTACTTTTACCTTCGATTTTTACTACTTTTCTGTTTTAGTTAGCCTTTTGTTAGGCTACATTTAGCTGCTTTCAGCTAATATTTATTTATTTTAACTTTTAGCTAGTGTTTTGCACTTAATGTTTGGTTAAAGCTTTAATACTTATTTTTGCTTCTTATATCTTACCATTTGCTCCTAGTTCTGCCTCTTTGTAAAGAGATCTGAATTTTCCCTTTAATTCAACAAACTATTGTCGTAACATGTTTGATTGTTTGTTTGTATTGACGGTAAAATAATAATTATTTTCAGGGTAATATTTCTTTTTTTATGTTTATACATATAGCTGTAGTGTTACAGTACTTCCTGTTGTTATTGATAGGACGGGTCTCGCGCGCTGCCCTCCTGCGGCTCGCGCTCATTGGTTGACGCAGCGCTATAAAGTCCCGCTGCGCCTCCTTCACAGACTGCAGGTCAGATTCACCCACAGGAGCTGTGTCTTAGAGCCGAACAGCGAGGGGATTTATTCAACCTCACCTCCTCTCTGCGCCTCCTGCCTCCTCCCGGGTGTCTCCTGCTCTTCATCATGAAGGAGAGAAGAGTCGCGCAGCCGCTCGTGGCCAGGTGTAAACTGGTTCTGGTGGGAGACGTCCAATGCGGTAAAACTGCCATGTTACAGGTGCTGGTGAAGGACTGTTACCCGGAGGTAAGAGGCTGCTGCTCAAACATCTGGACTTCATCTAGATCAAAATACTGCTCTGAAAACTAATTGTCTTTTCATTCTTTAAAAACAAAGAAAAAATGTAATAAATAAAATAAACTCTTTTAGTGTTTATTTTATATTTAAAATGTAAATAAATGTTATAATATGCCAACCTGTAAAAGCAGAGCAGGTGACTTGACTATTAATCCCAAATATTTTAACATTAACCCTGTCACTATAGGGAATAAACACATAATTTGATATGATTTAATGAAATAGTAATCAGTATATTATTGATTTATGACAAAAACACAAAACAATCAGCTTCTCTCCTGTATTTAATTTAGATCTGGACAGTTGCTCCTTCTATTGGAGATCAATACACGAGGGAATAGATGTTTATGTTTGTCTTATTCCTGCCTCCTTGTAGACATATGTCCCCACGGTGTTTGAGAACTACACAGCTTGCCTGGAGCTGGAGGACCAGCGGGTGGAGCTCAGCCTCTGGGACACATCAGGTGAGCATCAGGCCGGCTCAGATGAAAACATGTGAACGAGCTGGGATTGTTCTCAGGTGTGAGTTTCACAGCTGCTGTCGTAAATAAAACTACGTCTTTGTTTTTTTTTTTTCCTGTTTACTCCGACCTCACGGTCCGTCGGTCCTGTTTGGGTCTGTGAGCTGCTTGTCACTCGTGTGACATCTGCTCATCTGGACACATGGAGTCCAAGAATGTGCTTCCTTCTTTAGATGTCAAAAGTAAAACACTATTATTGAGCTTTTCTGTTTTGCTTATTTCAGATTCCAAATGGACATAAAAACACAAACATCTAAGGCTGAAAATCTAAATTTGTGAAGTGAGAGTAAAAAAAATGACATGAATGCTTGCCTGAAAATGAAGTGGTAAACTGAGTATTTAGCATTAATGAAAATGAAATAGTTTCAGTTTTTATTTTGGTTTGACTTCGTAGTGATGTCATTTTATAAAGAGAGGGAAGTCCCTTTGGTGCAGATGGATTAGGTTTTAACTCTAGATGTTCCATTCCACAGATTTCCTTTACGATTCTGAGTAAGGCTGGTATTGGCAGTATTGATCAGATGCACCTAATGTGTATTTCTAATCATAGCTTCAAAAATAATACAAGACATCAGAGTAATTTATTCATTTAGTTTAAACTCAGAAGTACTGATGTAGCATCCTCATTTACATTATAGCTGAGCTACTAATATAGAAAAAACAGAGGACACAATTATACAAATTATGTTAAAATTTAAACTATAAAAAATGAAGTAAATAATAAAACCATTAAAATACACTGGCCAAAAAAAGTGTCCACCTGGATTTAAAGGCACAGTGTGTAGGATTTTGTCAATTCTTTTTAAATTGAGATAATCACTAATGACAATAATAAAAAAAAAACATGTCTAATCATTGCAGACAAAGACCTTGTTTTATTATTTTTACCTTATAAAAAGCTGTTTATATCTCCATGGTCGCGGGTCGCCACTACAGGCAGCCGCCATGAAACCTTTATTAATGGGATCTTTGCATATATTACAATTATTATTTATGTATGTCACTGTGTGTTTATTGTTTGTTCATACATATATATTGTTAAAAAATGTGCCAAATCAATGGAAAAGAGGGCAAAGTTCATGCAAACCTGTGTTCCACATTTAGCCTCCCTCATCATTTTTGTCTCGACCCTGCTGACAGATTCTGTATACCTTCGACTCGTAGATAAAGAC